GGGGGAGCTTCTGGAACCGGTTCCCAGCCTGTGCGTGCGCAGAGCTGCCAAAAAGAAGGCACAATTAAGAACTCAAGGTCAACGTGGGAGTAAGGCCGCAGGTGGATGATGAATGGCCCTTCCCATCAGGATTAAAAGAGAATCAAAAAGGGATGGGGCTTTTGCAGGAAACAACTCGCTCGTTTGGTTGGTTGGTCAGTCCAGCCTCAAGAAGATTTCTGTGTATAACCCAGCCCTTCCCTGTCAGCACTGAGTGTGGAATTTTACTGGGCAGTGTTCCAAGATTGATAAAGGTCTGAGCTAAGTAGTCTACCATTGCAAGATTGTTTACCATGCCGTTGGTTGACTGAATGAAATAAATTCACATTAATGTAATAAAAGAGGTTTTTGCCGGGATTCAGAATTGACGTAGTGCTTTATGGGGAGGCCTAGAACAGAACAACTCCAAATGAATGCCCACAAGTGGAGAAGGGCAGAGATGCAAAGCCTTCTTTGGATTGAATAGCTGTTTCTGGTATTCAAGTTGCTCATTCTCCCCACCCCCATCTTTCCTCTTGATGCTCAGCAGCAGTTGGTCTAGAAATAGCCCTTCCAATCATTTTTATACCACCAGCTAGCAGGAAACTCTTTGCAGGACTGTCTATAGGATTGGATTGATAATGTGCGATTAAGTTGTTGCTGATCACCTATATAGATTTTCTCCATGATGATCTGTTTCTAACCTGGTCCTTCAGGTCTTCCAATGGTGCTCTCATCTCCACCGTAATAGAGTCCATCCACCTTGCTGCTAGTCATTCTCTTCTTCTCTTTCCTTCCATCTTTCCCAAGAGGCTTCTGCTGAGAAGAAAAATGTCATTATACAGTGTGTTTCATTTTGATTTAGCATACTATTTGAACACAGTTGTTTTCATACGCGTAGGTTAAGAAGTTTCCTTGTTAAAATTGTCCACATAGTGCCCATGATGGTGCGGCCTGCGGTTGATGGGCATTGCATGCAATACAGATTAAAAAAGAACCCTGTGGTGGCTGCCATTTTGACTTTCTGACCATGTACTACAGCCCTTGGCCATTTTATCAGAATACTTAAAGAACTGTACATGCCTGAGAAATCAAATTCTGCTTTCATTATAAAAGAGGTATAAAATTGAAAGACATGCTTGTAGAGGGCTGCTTCTAATTTTCTTGCTCTCTTTCCTTGGTTCTTCTTCTGACTTGGGCTATAGTTGAGGAGTGGGATTCAAATTTTTTAACAACTGGTTCTGTGGGCGTGGCTTAGTTGTAGGCATGGTTTGGTGGTCATGTGACTGGGTGGACATGGCTTGGTGGTCATCTTATTGGCTGGGCATGACCAACTCGATATCACTCAAATCGAGACACGCATCTCCTTGCCTGGCTTCTCATGACTGTGGGGATGCTGCAACAGTCGTAAGTGTGAAAAATGGTCATAAGTCACTTTTTTCAGTGCCATTGTAATTTTGAATGGTCACTCCACACAAGCAAAGTTCCAACAAAGGAGCGGAAAAAAACTCCAGAGATGTTCCAGAGACAGGAATTCTTGTCCTGCCAAGAATGTAATAAGGGTTAACGGAGAGGCAATTTCTGTAAGCAACACCAGAATGTTTCCTTCCTGCCTTCCTTACAGGATCAGGCCGGTAATTTCTTCTAACAACCGGTTCTCTGAACTGCTTAGAATGTTAACAACCGGTTCTAGCAAATAGGTGCAAACTGGTAGAATCCCACCCCTGCTATAGTTTCACCTGTGTGTTGCATGCAATAGGAAGCCATTGCTGATTACATTCTCTTTTGTGTTCTTTTCACTAAGAATGGCAAGACTGATGTTAGGAAGCCCATAGAGCAGGAGTCTCCAATGTTGGCAACTTTAAGACTTGTGGACTTCAACTCCCAGAATTCCCTAGGCAGCATAGCTGCCATAGAGGAACTTTGCAGAGTGTTGTAAGCTTGACTATTGAAGCCTGACTTGCTGAAGTCACTAAGACTTCTTGATAAGTCTGCCTACACCTTGCAACTTATAACTGCTCTCGAACACAAAGACCTGTATTCAGGATCCAGTAAATACTAATAAATGTTAAAATTGGTTATGCAGCACATTTAATACTAATTTCAGTTGGCCATATAATAACATATTTATCTTAATCGGTTATCAGTCTTCGGTCAAGAATGTAGAAAAGTGCATATGGAAGATATTTTATTTCTCAAAATTCATTTCTAGAGATGAAAATAAACTATACATATGTAAAAATTGTACCAAAGGGAACATAGCCTCACAGATCAAGAATATATTTCTATGAGAAGACAAAGGAAGAAAAAATTGCTGGCAAACACAGGGGCAATGGGCAAAGAATGTTCCTATTGTTTGTTAGTGACTAGTCCATTGTACTATTAAACATGCGCTCCAGGTCTGAATATTGGATTTATAATGAAATGTGTGACTTCATTGCACAATTTCCAGAAAGTTATAATTATCAAGTCTCCCTTTAAGACTTTTATATTTTCTTTAGAATGAAATGTGAGGAAATGCAAAGACTGCAGCTGTTACATAAAAATGAGGTGGGTTTATCTTACGCATGCTGGTACACGCACACATAAATGCATATAAATATTAGCTATGGCTCATCCCTATGCTCATTTTGGAAATCTCATATTTAACACACACAAAAATCCCCTCAATTATTTGTAGTGGATGACAATGATTAAGTCAATTGTTTTGATGCCCAGGTCTCTGAGGCATTTTTGTACAGATAGGAATTCATAATTTCAAAGAGTATAAAAGTTCTGAACAGTGAAGTTATTAACATCATTATTATTGTTCTTGAAGGTAAAACTAAAAATGCACATAATAAAACAAAATCAACTGTGAATGAAAGTATTTTGTAAAATACGTTTTAAAAAAATAATCACCAGATTTCCTAGGTGGTAATTCAGTAAGTTTTTCACATTATGGATCTAACTTGTTTATCCTTTATCATACACCTCTGTACTCTCAATCATCTGTCACATAAATAGAAATAATATGATAATATTCATTCTCCTCAAACTGGAAATGATTGTGATTCGACACAGATAATGTACAGGCATGCCCATGTTGAAGAAATACCTGTGAGCTTAGAAATCTAAGACCTTAGCATATTTCATCAATTGTTAATCCAAAAATAGAGGGGGTAAATTGCACAAGTGGAGTGAAGTTGCAAATTTCAGTAACTTTCCTGAGATAGGAGGAGAAAGGTGTAAAATGGGCAAGCCAGATGGATAGAACATCTCACAGTACCAGCAAAGAGGAAAGAGTGGCACCATAGCAATAGCACTTAGACTTCACAGTGCTTTACAGCCCTCTCTAAGCGGTTTATAGAGTCAGCATATTGCCCCCTACAATTTGGGTCCTCATTTTACCCACCTCGGAAGGATGGAAGGCTGAGTCAACTTTGAGCCTGGTGAGATCTGAACTGCCAAATTGCAGGCAGCCAGCAGCCAGCAGAAGTAGCCTGCAGTACTGCACTCTAACCACTGCACCACCTTGGCTCATGAGAAAAGTTCCTTAGTTCCTTCACTAAGAAGCCATGCAAATTGGTGGCTCCCCATTCCTGCATTACAGTTCCTGACCTCTGGCAGAAAGACCGACAAACAATATGCCTAGAATTCCACACATGGAATCAGTGGGTAAAACAAGATTTGTGAATGACTTGATAGAATGACATTGAGAGAAACATTAAAGCATTAAGGTTCTAATGCTTTTAGCCATTTGTGCTTGATAAAAACAGAAGCAGTATTAAAAAGATTTGTATGTGTGGGCTTGTTGGCATTCTCTGGCTCAGAACTTTTTCTAAGAATCTCTCTCTTGTGCCTTGCAGCTATGATCTCCTAGTAACTACATGCCTTGCATTCTTTATTGGTATTTTAGAGCAGTTGAAGGATAGAGACACTTGCTGAAAAATTTAGGTGAATTTACTTCTTTTATGTGTTGCCAGCCTGTATGGGAAATGAAAATAAAATGATTATACTTTTGAAGAGTCATGGAGGACCATTGTTATTTCTTTTCTGTCTTTCAAAATTATACCATATGGAGTTTTCAAATAGCAAATAGCTATTCTTGTTGCTATTATTACTATTTATTACTATTTGCTATGCAGGGGCATTCTCCTACATTGCTGCTTCTACCAATTGTTGTTTCAATTTGATGAAAGAGGTACTTGGAAAAAAAATATTTTATTTAATTAATTTATTATATCAATTTGTATTGATACCCAAAATAAAAATATCAGGGGAAGAGCCAAAACATAGTACAAATATAAATTGTGTCTGAGGCAAATAACTCAGCTCCAACACACAGACACACAGACATAGACACACACACACACACACACACACAGAGAGAATAGATTTTTCTCATAAGCTGTTGCTCATTAAGCAAGTGGAAGAAAATAGATAGTTTTCTTCCTATTAATGTTGGAAAACAGTAATTTCTTCTGGACTTGCAGTGTTGGTGCTCCTCTTTCAGCTGCTCCTCTGCCTTTTACAATAGTTTCGACTGCTCCAAACAAATATCAGCCATCATTTTAAAAAAATTGAATTCCCTCAGAGCTATAGGAGCTAAATATGTTTTTCTGAGAATCCTGTGATTTTAAAAAAGTCAGCTTGCCTTTGGAGTGAATTTTGCTTTCAACCAAGGTATTCAAGTTCCATAAGAACTTGCTTGTGTACCAATCTTCAGTGAACACTGTCAAAACACAAGAAGTCAAATCAAAATTGTTTCTTTTTAAAAATTATTATTTCAGTGTGGCATCTCTTCCAATTTAATCTGGGATGATGGGCATTGAACCTGGAACATTTTGCACACAATTTATATAGTCTGTCATTTAGCCAAGATTATGAATAGATAATTTGTGCCAACCAATCAATAACATGCAAGCTCTTTTAAATGTTATTTCAGTCTCTCACATCATTTTTTTTGTTCTTTCTCTCTCGCATCCTTCTACCTCATAAAGTTTTTAAGAGTGGAACAAGACAGAGACAAAGAATGTAGTCTGGAATGCACAGGTTCCCCTCAGAAGTCCTTGTGTGCATCCGATGGCAGGACTTTCTTGTCTCGATGTGAATTTCTACGGGCAAAATGCAAAGATCCTCAGCTAGACATTGCCTACAGGGGAAACTGCAAAGGTAAGGAAATTGCCAGTTATTCTGTAGACACAAGGTGACAATTTTTTTAATTGTTTTAATCTCAGAATGTCAGCTTGTTTTTTAAAAAAATCAGTACAAGATGAAACACGAGGAACAGGCAGGAAATCAATTGTATCAGTTTGGGTTTGTAAATTATGTACCACACTATAGCCCTGATGGAATGGGACAACTCGCCATGACCAACTCACCGTGGGGCAACTCACTGTGGAATGATTCAATAATTCTACTTAATTATTTAAAATAAATAAAACAATTGTTTTAATTTTTGCCATCCACATTTCATTCTGTCCCTCCTTTTGCATCCTTTCTTTAATGATTCTATTCCACTATTTCTTTAATATTAGTGTAACTCTTGTCCTGCAGTGAGTTGTCCTGTGGTGAGTTGGCTGTGGTGAATTGTCCTGCAGCATGTTGGCCACAACAAATTTGTTGCAGTGAATTGGCTGGGGCAAGTTGGCCATGCCGAGTTGGCTGTGGTGAATTGTCATAGACCTAACCGTGATGTCCCAGGCTTCTCATCATGAATCGCTTGCAAAATCACATCTCGCAAATGTGGCAAAACTATCTACACAAAGGAGCTGTGAACATATTAATGTTTGTTCCCTAGATAATTATTACATCCTTTTTACATAGTTAAAATATGGGATGCAAAGTATTAAACATATGTCATCTATAACCAAAATAGCTCAAAGCAGAAATCAGCAATGAATTCTTCATTCCCCAATGAAGGTTTTTTTTCTGTAATGTTTATGTATAAATATGAATCAAATTAAGGAAGCATTAATTCAGCATTATTTAAGAGTGCTGTATTTGCAGGTCCATCTTAATTTATTGTCTACTGTTTGTAGCAAGTAGTGAAAGAAATGGTAAAGGGCAGGGGTGGGATTCAAATTTTTTAACAACCGGTTCTGTGGGCGTGGCTTAGTTGTGGGCATGGTTTGGTGGTCATGTTATTGGCTGGGCATGACCAACTCAATATCACTCACATCAAGGCAAGCATCTCCTCGCCTGGCCTCTCATGACTGTGGGGATGCTGCAGCAGTCGTAAGTGTGAAAAATGGTCATAAGTCATTTTTTTCAATGCCATTGTAATTTTTGTAACTCCACACAAGCAAAGTACCAGCAAAGGAGTGTGGGGGGGGACTCCAGAGACAGTCCTGAGACAGGAAGTCTAGTCCTGCCAAGAATGTAATAAGGGTTAACGGAGAGGCAGTTTCTGTAAGCGACACCAGAATGTTTCCTTCCTGCTTTTCTTACAGGATTAGGCCAGTAATTTCTTCTAACAACTGGTTCTCTGAACTGCTTAGAATGTTAACAACCGGTTCTAGCAAATAGGTGCAAACTGGTAGAATCCCACCCCTGGTAAAGTGCCTCTTAATTACATTATGTGTTGTTCTTAAAAATATAAATGCAAGATGAAAACAACAAATTAAAATATTCCTTCATCCATGAAATCAAAAGCTGATTCTGGACATAATCAAGAAGGAGCATTAATACAGGTGGGACTTGAACCCAGGGAACTGTTAATGTTAACACAAAGACCTAAAAAAGCTTCAGTTTGGATCAGCTGGTTCTGCAGTTATGTTTTATTCAGCCTCCCATTTAAATATAGGTAGTCTTCATTTGTTGAGCACTTATTCAGTGACTGTTCAACGTTCCAGCTGTTGCATCATCCCTACTGTCTCATGACTGAGATCTGATGCTTCGCAATCAGCTTGCACTTACAATGGTTGTAGCACAATCACACAATCGACATCTATGACTTTCCCTGTCAGCTTCCCACAGGCAAAGTCAATGGGGAAGCCAGCAGAGAAGGTCACAAGTCTTTCTGATAAGTCTCCCCCCACTCAATAGCAGCCACTCCTGGCCCAGCAGCTTTCATGGTGCACCTCACTGGCTGACCATGCACACCCTCTCTCTGGTAGCAGCCACCCCCAGCCTCAGAATTGTTTTGATACCCTCCCTCACACATCAGCTGTGACTTCCTGCCTGCCAACCTGCTTTTAAGCCTCCTGGAGTTTGCAACTTCCTGCTAACTTTTTCCACTGACTTTGCTTGTGGGGAGCTGCAGGATGTTGTGAAGAGGTGCTTGCTTAACAACCTCCAATCCTCACTTAACGATAGCAACAGGGACTGCCTGGATCGGTATTGCTAAGCAATGCATTTACAGGATGTCACACTTCACAACCGCATCACTTGGAAATTCTGATCCCAAGTATCATTGCTAAGAAAGGACTACCTGTAACACAAAATAGGGACTGGAGGAATAGAACATAAAAAAGAATATACTGGCCTGTTTATGTTTGGACAGCACTGTAATATCTATTTAACTCTCCATAAAATGTGTATAAACCAAGAATAATGAGAAAGGCCAGAGTAGAAGCAACCCGAACTGAAATAGTTCTAAATAACTTATTTACATATTGGAAAAATATGTTTTACATTTGAAATCATAGTACAAGTATCAATTCCTATGTACATTATTTTGTTGAGTATCTGTCTTTGTATCCAGATATTCGTGATTATGCTTTGTTTCTGGTGTTAATCTGATGGATACTTTGGCATTAATAGGAGCTGAACTACTCAGGGTTTTGTATTGTTTGCCCAAGGAAAAAGTTGAGAAGCTTCCCAGTTTAACTGCAAGGTTTGATTTTCAGCACAATACCATCCTTCTTTATACATAAATACCAGCGATCATAGAGGTTTACCTTTACTTACACTTTATTCAGAAAGAAAGTGAGAGAAAGAGAGAGAAAAAGACCACACAGAGACATCTTCGAGAGACAGTTTTGTGCACTGTGCATTCCTCATCTCTCTTAGCTTCAAAAGTCCTCTAAAGCACCAAGAATTCTTTAAAGAGACATTCTGTCTCATCCTTGTTCTGGCTTAAAGAAAACATTCTATAATGCTTTCTTTGATTGTATAATTGGCTCTACCTTTGTCTATGCTCAGCAGTGATAAAAATCCTCACTGAGCTTTGTAATCCAAACTCCTGTTATTTTCTGTGATAATACAAAGAAGATCTTTTAACAACCACAAAGAAACTTTGCCCAGCCCGGTGCCCGCATTTTTAGCTACAGTGTATTTTTGTGAGATTATAAGAGTTGAGATCCAACACCTTTGGATAACAATGAGTTAGAAAAGGTTGACTTTTGATCATAAAGAACTTTTAGGATTGCCTCATATAAAGAAATGCTGAAAGCAACACAAATAATTTAGTTGCATTGCATGTCCAATGTGTGTTCAGGGACCATAGTATAAAACACTTTCTTTTCCTTGCTTCTTTCCCTTTCTTTCACTCTGAACTTCTAGTGTTGGGTCAAATTTTTCAGCCCTTTCTGGAGTTTGATGGATGTGTTAAGCCTAGCACAGTTCTGACTACATGATGGAAGTGTTCTGGAGTCACACATGTATTACAGTATGTAATGTGCTCCATGAACCTACTGCATCAGTAACTGAAAATGTCAAAGGAGAACTTTGCCTTTAAAATTGTCCTTTCTTCTTTCCTTTAAATCATATTAATAGTGGTCAGGTTAAGATTTATCTCTCTTTCTTTCCTGCTAAATGTCTATGGAGATTCTCAGTCATCCAGGTCATGGTTATCATAATGGTACTTTTTAAAAAGGGAACTGAACTTCGTTTTTCCTTAAAGACATTTCGCTTCTCATCTAAGAAGCTTCTTCAGAATTCATCAAAAACATCAGAAATTCAGATCTGAAGAAGCTTTTTGGATCAGAAGCAAAATGTCTTCAAGGAAAAACAAAGTCCAGTTGCCTTTTGAAAAAGCACCTTTAGTAGTTTAGTAGTCTAGTAGTTTCCTGATAGTTGTATGGCTTATTAACTGAATCCAGCAATCATCTTATATGGGAAAAGTTCTTTGAATAACACTGCAAATGAATTGGTTTGGTCAACCTGTATATGGGAGCTTCCTAGCTTGTTTTCTGCACTGGACTTTGAGGACTTTCATCCTCAAATCTTGCCCTAAAAGCACTAATACTCTCTCCAATCCATTGATTCTCATGCTATTTGAAGCTTCTTTGTAATTTTCCATCGTCATCACTGCCTCATTTTTTGACACTTTCTTTCCCCAATCCTCAATTCTGGGTTTGTATGTATTTATTCTTAAGGCTTGGTCTTGTGAAGCCAAAATTACCACCTCTGTCTCTTTCTTCAGCTTTTCTCTTAGCCTTTGTTAAATCTTGTTGTTATCTGCTTAACTCTTCTTCTGTTATGTATATTTGTGCTAACCATGTAATCCAGGCCACAAGGTGGCATTGCGCATGGTTGCAGCGGCTCAATGCTCCCAACGACTGTTCTTTTTTTGTTTTTACTTCTTTTTGTTCCTGCATTTTACTCCATCCTGCAATGGACTAATGTACTGTCGAGAAGACCTGATAAGTTTAGGACAGCAACTTAAAACTGAAGTCACCTATGCTTACACAGAATCCCACAATATCCCATTGGAGCTAGCAAGATATCCCATGGGAGCTGCATGGATTGTTGTCGGATTAAGCAAGCATAGAAGATGGCATAGGGAGAGAAAACAGAAGTGGGGATGCAGAGCGGGCCTGCTAACTCAATTGAGGAAGAGACCACAGAAACCCCCATTACCATCTATGTTCCTCGCAAACGCAAGATCCCTCATAAACAAAGTGGATGAACTACAGCTGCAGATCTCCCACAATCACACAATTCATGAGTGCTGTCTGCTAATCGTCACAGAATCCTGGCTGCACCCGTAAATCCCTGATGCTACAGTGGAGCTAGTGGACCGGACCTCGCACCGTCAAGATCGCAATATATAACCTCTGGTAAGAGAAGGGGAGGGACCTAATTATTTATGTACGTAAAGACTGGTGCACAAACAGCAAAATAACAAACAGTCATTGCTCACCAGATTTAGAGGCCATGACTGTTCAGTGTAGACAGTTTTATCTGCCACGGGAGCTAACAGTAGTTACCATCACTGCTGTATATTT